TCTAACCCAAGGCAACACACTTGTGAAATTGCACGTCTCTCATGAAACAACACATAAACATTTAAGGAATATGGGAAAACCCCATAAAGAAGGTGTTTGGGTGCCTCACGAACTCTCCGATGATACATCGTTTCCAACGTGTGAACGTTGCTTCGTCTCTTCTGGCGCGTAGTGCGCGTGAACCATTTTTTGGACAGAACTGTCACCGGTGATGAAAAATGGATTCTCTATGCGAATATTAAACGCCAAAAGGCTCAGTCCTAGATAAAAACCATTTCTGACCCCAAAACCTGGACTTCATCCACAGAAAGTGATGCTTTGCGTTTGGTGCGACATCAAAGGAGTAATTCATTTCGAACTCCTCAATCCACAGCGAACGGTCAATGCAGAGATCTATAGTCAGCAATTAAATGTTTAAATCAAGTCCTTCACTCGTCAATCGGAAAGGTGTTCTTCTTCTCCACGACAATGTTCGTCCACATGTGGCACGTTTGACGCAACACAATATTATAGAGTTGGGTTGGGAAATTCTCCCCCACCCACCATATTCTCCAGATATGGCACCATCAGATTACCATCTTTTTCGTTCGCTGCAACACCATCTTAATGGGAAAACGTATGCAAATATGGAAGGTGTTAAAGAGAATATTGACATGTTTTTTTGCTTTAAAGCCAAGTAATTATTTTAATCAGGGCAATAACAACCTGATTGTAAGATGGAAAAGCATTATCGATAAGAATGGAGACTATTTGAATTAATAAATGTTTTATTTTCATATACAAGTTGTTCGGTTTACTAACTTTGTTCTAACCGTTCCTTAGAAGTATTTTTCTTTTAATAATGGTACGTACATGCCAATGGTGCATGATTAACCAAACGTGACATTGGCTGGATTAACTTAACTTGAAACATTAATATTATCTCGGTTAAATTGCATCTTTGTTTGTAAATAAATCAGACTTCTTTTAAATTGATCCGACTCTTAAAGGTAATGATAAAAAATAAATGGTATCTTTTAAAACTAGCTTAATGGTTAGTTTGGTAAATATAATTCACCAAATATTGACGTCAAATGTTTTGTTCTTTTATTTAAAATGGATAATAAGCTGATTGTAAAGATGATCGTCTCGCAATTTCAGTTCGAATACCCGTCACCGAACGTACTCGTCTTAAATGGTTGCCGACTGAGCCAGCAACCCGGGTGTAAAAATTCTTAGTTTACAAAATTGCAGGCCGACTTCAGATTAGTTGGGATTAAAGTCGTTAAAGAAAAAAAAAGGAAAAACAAAAAACAATAAGTAAGTATCCCATTTAATGGGATACCAGAAAGTTAGGTAACCCCTAGAGTATCGGGATTGCGTGAGGTTTCATTGTTTCATGAAATGTTTCATATGACATCAAACAAACGATAAAAGACCAAAGTATTATAAGGCGTTTTTATGAACGGCTTTCTGCGTGATAAACTTTCATGAAATTGATAAAATACACGAATTATGAACATTAATTATTACCACAAAAACAGTCTACTCTGTTTTTTATACCATTAACTCTTGTTATCCTTGGAACTTTAAAACTAGGAGGGAAATTAGAACCAAAAAAATTCAGATACTGATGTGAAATATTAGTTGTGGAAATTATGCTCTTTAAAATCAATAACATACCCAATCCCAAATGTTCACGACCTGGACTAATACAAGATACGTTGGTGGGCTCTTTCCTAATCGCCACTGAGGTGCCAGGGTAGTTTCCTGACCAGACACGTGACGAGGACGCAGTGGTCGCAGCACCCCAAGGATAAACAGCAGTGTAAGGGTTATAGAGACCATACCCTGCAGCTCTTGCAAATTCAGCCGTGGCTCGTTCAACTGCTCTGTTTCTTAGTATACGATTAATGGAACTCACACTAGGTGCTGTGTTATTGACGCAAACACCTATACAGGAAACATTCAAAGAGAAATATCATAAGTAAATAAGATTTTTTCAGCCATATTTAAAGTTTGTCACTCATATTATGACAATTTATGGTAAAAATATCACCACAGATACGTGGCCACTGAAGGAGAGGGGACATATTTAAAAATTATTTTCTTACCTGTGGCAAACTCGGTAACTTGCCTTTTAGGTATCAAAGGTAATTTGTGTTACTGAAGGTATTGGTAGATTATGTACCACAAGAAGAGTAACTGTACACTTTCTTTATCGATAATTACTGTATCGAAATAACTACTAGAGTTGAGTCTATTTGACCCGAAGTGATTTAATTTTGTTAATAACTAATTTTCGTATTTCTAATAATGTTGTAAATATTACTTTGTGTATTTCCGTAAATTATTAGAAACTCTTTCTAAGCAAATTATAACTTATTTGGGGCCTGAGAGACCTAATGAAAAATGATCCTAGTGATTAAGGCTTAATACTTTTGCAAACAGAGTAAAATTCGGTTAAGTGGTTTAGATCTGTTAGATTAATTCCTACAATAATTGTAAGGCACAATTCCTCTCTTGCTTTTGTATAACTGTTTAAAAGGTTTATTTTATTTGTGTAGTTAGTTTAAAATGTATGTTTTGTAATAAATAAAATCAAAGGTTTGTTCTTCTCATAAACAAAACGTTTCACCAATTTCAAATAGAAATATATTTACTTAAGCTAATCACTATATGTATTATAATATAATTATTTATAGCAGCCACTCAAAAATATATTTACTTAAGCTAATCACTATATGTATTATAATATAATTATTTATACTAATCACTTAAAAATATATTTACTTCAGCTAATCACTATATGTATTATAATATAATTATTTATACTAATCACTCAAAAATATATTTACTTAAGCTAATCACTATATGTATTATAATATAATTATTTATACCAGCCACTCAAAAACATAGTTACTTAAGCTAATCACTATATATGTATTATAACATAATTATTTATACTAACCACTCAAAAACATATTTACTTAAGCTAATCACTATATGTATTATAACATAATTATTTATACTATCCACTCAAAAACTTGTCTTCTAATATATTTACTTCAGCTAATCACTATATATGTATTATAACATAATTATTTATACTATCCACTCAAAAACTTCTCTTCTAATATATTTACTTAAGCTAATCACTAACTAATTGTCTTATTTACGTATTTCAGCTAAACACTCACTAGGTGTCTATTAATATGCTTATTTTCGGTAACGTTTCATAATATATTTTATAATTTATTTGTTTCAAATGAGTACCAACTAAATGTCCTTAAATATACGTCTTTTATCTATGTACTTACGAAGAGTCTTTTAGTATACTTATTTTAGCTAAATACCCATTAAATGTCTTCGGATTTACTTGCTTAAGATAAATGTTGAGTCTGCTAATATTCTTACGTTAGCTAAATATTAAGTAAGTATTTTCAAAAATACTTGTTTTCGGTAAATTAACACTGCTTCCAAGTTTACTTGTTTCAGAAGAAATTGACATAATATTTGTCAATTTCAATTTGGTACTGACTAGTACAATTATTTCCGATCATGTACCTTCTGATATACTTATTTAGATTAAACACTCCCTCACTGTCTTGTAATAAACTATTTCAACTAAACAATAAACACGTATCTCCCAATACACTTATTTAAACAAACCACTAATTAAATATATTTTAATTCACTAACTGTAAGAGTATTCTAGTTTATTTGTTTGCTAAACACCAACTACATGTCTTCTAATTTACTTATTTCAGTAAAACTTTCATTAGATGACATATAACAATTAAACTCTTAGTAGATGACATATAATACATATATTTCAGCTAAACTTTCACTATATGACATATAACACATTTATTTCAGTTCAACTCTCACTAGATGACATATAACATATTTATTTCAGCTAGATGTCATATAACACACTTATTTTTGATAATCTCTCTAGATTGCATAAACATATTTCTAGTAAACTCTCACTAAATTAAATATAACTTACTTATTTCAGTTAAAATCCCACTAGATGACATATAACGTATTTATTTAAATTAAACGCTCAGTAGATGACATATAACATATATTTGTCAGCTAAACTCTCACTAGATGACATATAACATATATATTTCAGTTAAACTCTCACTAGATGACATATAAATGAACAAAAACCATATAACCCGAAAGCTTTCAATAATGGACTTTTCTTCTTCAGTTTGCCCCTGAAAAAAGAGAGGTCTATCATGATGACAAAACCTTGTCGAAACGTTGTACATTTGCTGTTATGTTAAACTTATATTAAAGTTTTTCTTCATTATCTATTCAAGCCATCTCCAGCCATTATTAGTCTCAAAGTGGGTTCCTCGTCATCAAATATAGCATACTTATTTCATCTAAGCATTCATTAAAGGACATATAACATAGTTATTTCAGATAAATTGTCACTAGATGATATATAACATACTTATTTTAGCTAAACCCTCACTAGATGACATATAACATATTTGTTTCTGATAAACTTTCACTAGATGACATATACATACTTGTTTCTGGTAAACTCTCAACAAATTATATATAACATACGTATTTCTGATAAACACTCACTAGATGACATAAAATAACGTATTTCTGGTAAACTCTGACTAGATGACATTTACTTATTTCAGCTAAACTCTCACTAGATGGCATATAACACATTTATTTCATCTAAACTCTCACTAGATGACATATAACATATTTATTTCAGCTAAACTCTCACTAGATGACATATAACATATTTATTTGAGCTGAACTCACATTAGGTGACATATAACATACGAATCTCTGATAAACACTCACTAGATGACATAAAATAACTTATTTCTGGTAAACTCTGACTAGATGACATAAAATAACTTATTTCTGGTAAACTCTGAGTAGATGACATTTACTTATTTCAGCTAAACTCTGACTAGATGACATTTACTTATTTCAGCTAAACATTCACTAGATGACATTTACTTATTTCAGCTAAACTTTCACTATATGACATATAACGTATTTATTTCAGCTAAACTCTCTCTAGATGACATGTAACATACGTATTTCTAATAAATTTTCCATAAATACCTCTTACTATATTTATTTCAGCTAAACTCTTTCTAAGTTCATTTTAATATACTTATTTCAACAGAATACTCATTACGTATTTCCTAACATACATAAATTCTAAGTAAGTTTCGTTTATTTCCTTGTTTATTATGAATTCTGAGTCATTTAATATACATGTATTAAGTAAGTACTTACTGAGGGTTTTCTATTATCAATATTTCAGCTAATTACCTATAAAATGAGAGCTAATATACTTGTTTTAAATATATAGTAATTAAGTGTATTTTAATAAACGTATATCAATTAAACATTCAAATAGTGAAACATGCACTGCTTGTGTTCTAATTTACTTATTTCTGCTAAACACTGACACTAATTGACGTGTAACATATCTATTTCAGCTAAACATCCAATAAGTGTCTTCAATTGTATTAATATGAGATAAACATCTGCGTAAGGATTCTCGTGTGCGTCTAGCGAGCATACAGCTGGTTTCTTCTACACCTATCTGATCGCAGTTTTACAAATACTATAATAAATTAAACAATCAGATGTACAAATGTAGTGGCTAATAACATAATAGGCTGATTCAGAATCCTTAACAATCTTTTTTAATCAATGTAAAGGTTAGTTTTGCATATGTTCTTCTGACAGTTCTACATACCTTCTTATGTATCACATGATGGATGCATGTTGTTCGGAAGCTGACTATGGGTGAGTAAATCTTTAATCTTGTTGTCTCGTTTATAAGAAATTATATGCTTATTATGGAACATGTGACTGACGGTACTGTTCTTTGTTATAATGTGAGAGTTTTGAAACAATATAGGAGTGATTTATATGGTGAATGTTGGTTCAGTGGGAAGTATAAGAGATGTATTGGAGTGACGTATGAAAGGATTTAACGAACTGAAGAAAAGATCAGTTTCATCATTAGCTTATGTAGCTATCTAAGAACATCATAAATATATCTACAATACAAGAATGTGATAGCACCTGTGTACTTAAGATACATGAAATCTTCAACTTAACCAACAAAGCAGCTAACATAGAAAGAATCCATTTTGATTTCCATGGCTTTAAGTCAAAATTTGCAATTTTTAAGTCCTCAATGGTGTCCTGAAAGTAAGTAGAGAATTAATATATTAAGGAGTTAGGACGGAATCAAGGTGTAATTAGGGAGTTGATAAACTAATATGTTAGTATGGAATCGAGGTGTAAGTAGGGAGTTCATGAACAAAGGAGATAGGATGAGATCAAGGTGTAAGTTGGGAGTTGATGAAATAAAAGAGTTAGAATAGGATCGGGATGTAATTACGGAGTTGATAAACTAACGAGTTAGTATGGGATCGAGATAACAAGAAATGAGTCCAGTAGGACAGATGCATATCGAAATTATGGGTCTATCACGATCATATGGGTTATGTATTTCAAGAAGAAGATAGAATACAGAAAGTTTAGGCTATTTTACAATTAATTTCTTAACTTCATTATTTCTTATCAATATTTCTATCGTGGCACAGTAAATCTGTTGATGTTCATCTCGGGGTTTTTATCACAGGTAGCATGGGACGATTGGTCCAATAGTTTCGGTGAACCTCCTGAACACAAAATTATATCTTCCAAATAAACACCACTCCTTTTTTTATTAAAATGTTCTCAGGGAAACGAAGAGCATGCAGAGGTTTCTAAAAGATGGAGCAGTTGTTAATTCCAAGTTGTAAATTTACTTTCACCATTTTTCTCTGCAATAATCGAAAGAAACGAATTTCCCATGTTGGGATTTCCGTGTGTTGGTTTGTTTCTGTAGCTCAGAGATAAATGACTTACTTGTGTTCAAAGTTGGTCCTAGGTTG